AAAGGATTTAAAATGTATTTAGAAAATAATAAATTGTGAGATACACCATTCCATGTCCACATTTTTTTTATTATTATTTCTAATGATATTTACAACTGTATTAAAGAAATACATTTAGTAAATTTGAACATATGGATATGAAAACACTTGTTGAGTAACTACCCAATGGTAGCACTTTAATGATATGTCTACATTAGGAGATCACGGGGTCATCTTCTTTTCAGACGCCTCGGAGGATAATCAGGAATTGAAGAGGAAGCAAGGCTAGAAACGAGAGGATTGGGATGATTCTAAAGTTTATTATGGACGGATAGGTATCTGGATTGGGCCAGATCTGAAACATAAGAAACATTAATGTCATTATGTATGGTTTTATTTGTAACAAAGTAGGGACCATTGAGCATTTTACGAAGGATTTTGGATTGTAGGGATTGGATGCGAGAGGAATTCGATGGTTTAGTGGAGCCCCATAGCTTAACTCCGTAAGTCTAAATAGGCCTTATTATAGTCATGTATATGAGTCTTTTGTAATTAATTGGAAGTTTAGAGCGTTTGTCTAGTAAGTGCTGAAGTAATCGGAAATGTCGAGCGGTTTCTTGTCGTTTCAGTGTGGTATGAGGATTCCAAGTTAGACGTTTGTCCAGGTGGAGTCCTAGGTAGCGGATTTGCTCAACAGGGATCATGTCCACATAACAGTTAAAATCATTTTAAACTAAAAATTAACTGAATTATAGACAATGTTTTAATTTTTCTGCAAAAAAAATACATTTTTGTACTTTTTACATTAACACTTAGTACATTTTTGCATACCCACTAAACACATTTTTGATGAAGCTAAACTTTAAGTATGGTTTTTGCGAATTTCGATCTTATTTAACTTGATAAAAAGTAGATACATCAGAATGACACAAATTTAGATATCGAAAATAGTTAAACTTAATGCACAATGTATTGATTTCACAGAGAGAAAATTTATCAAAATTCTTAATGATTAAACGTTATTTTAAATAGAACCACGATTTATAGGCGATCTCGTATGCGATGATGCATGAATCACATGCAATTATCCGCCTTCCATCCATGATGACAAATGGCTATAAAAGGAAAGGATTTATTAAAGTTATATTTTTATATGTTACATACCTTGCTGGTGTGTACTTTTCAGGGAAATATAAAAAGTTTTACTTGTTTTTGGATAAAATTTATCTCCTGAAATTGAATACAAATACATAATATAAAGATTTTAGGTGTAGCGTTAGGGGATGGAGGGTTAGAGCAATAAACATAAAATATTCATCTGCAGACAGGAAGTGATAGATCGGTTTCTGTCGATAAGACATCAACTCTATGCTAACCATCGGGAAGGAGGTCAGGAGTTTGTTGACATTTGGCTGCTTCATAAAGCAGTTCGATTTTCACAACTTGAAGAGATTCCTTCGTTCAAATATCGATTATTTGTATTATATTCTTACTACATTAATTAATATATCAATATACCACTTCAAAATTAATATACCAATCGCGAAATGGTATTATTTAAAGAAGGTTCCTTCAGCTGTTCACAGAAATGGATATAGGAATTAAAAGCTATTTTTTGAAATTCATGTATTCATCATCCGAGGCGTCTGAAAAGAAGATGGTCCCGTGATCTCCTAATGTAGTCATATCATTAGAGTGCTACCATTGGGTAGTTACTCAGCAAGTGTATTCATGTCATTATATCTGTTATGTCCAAATTTACTTGATGTATTTATGTAATACAGTTGTAAATGTCATTAAGAAATAAAAAAAATTAAAAAATGTATTCATCAATCACTTGAAAAACAAGGATGCTAAATTTTGAAATTCTATACCACAGTGAGAACTATCTTTCTCCATTATACATTTGACATATTAGTGATATCAGCAAAACATAATATTATCAGAATAGTCTATTCATCATGTACAATTGGTGAATATTGATAATAACCCTGACTTTTCCATCCTTGAACCATCTACTTAGTAACTGAATAGCTTCTCTCGCTGGAAAATATAGTGCAGTTTTTTTACGCAAAAAGACACAACTCTTGAACTGAATTCTTGAACTTATTCTAATCCATTACTGTACTTGCTCAAGACCTATTTGGTACAGAATAGCTTTGGTTTGTTGTTTTCTCACTTACGATGAGCATAGAAGTCAAGTCTATTACAAAAAGTATAGAAGCCATAATTGAATATTTTTTTTTTAGATATTAAAAATATCCAAAAGTTTCTGTCTATTTTATTCGAAGCTACTAATGGATCATAGTGCTATTGTTCTCGGTTTAGCTTTTTAACGATTTTTCGTCATGAGAAGGAGTTGGTCGGGGGGTGCGGTCAAATAAATATTTAATTAAAAAAAAATAGTATTTTTAATTGTTCGCCGACGCTTCGACCCACCTTGCAAGTCTTCATCAAGGCTACAATAGATGCAAAATATAAAAGGTACTTGGTGAAAATAAAATAAATGAATAATAAGATGACATCAGAGATATAGTGGGTGACAGTTTAGTTAAAATATCAAGTATTTTATATATATATATATATAAGATACAAACAAAAATAGAAAACAAGTAAGTTAAAAGTAAACAGATCGTGATAACAGATAGGAAATGAGTGTACAAATTGCAAGCCTTAATTTTTAGTTATTTCATGGAAGATCGAAATTAGCAATATTTTAATTTTCGAAACCAAATAAAGCTGCCACAGCACTTTAGATGAATTTGGCCAGAATTATAATTTATAATGAAAACGAGATAACTTATGACTTTGAAACGCAGGGCCTGGTATAGTCCATTTGGACCTACAGTCGCGATCGTAATAATTCCGTCACTTATTGCTTTTGATAATTATGATGATAACGATGATTCCATTGAATGTTTTTGTTTTTCTTTACTCTTATAGGTTACAAGAAAACTTTAACAATGTTTACCAGTTCAATTTTAACTAATGTCAGAATAAAAGCTGTAATTATGACCTGTTTCAGTCAAAAAATATTAAAATTACGACGTTACATGAAGTAAAGGAATTTTCAGGGGAAATGCTAACGAGAATAGCGTACCAACAATCAGCGGTAGTCATAGTTTTGAGCAAAAGTAAAAAACTGAGAGGAAAAAAAAAATGAACAATTTGACCGCTTGATGGTGTGATTGTTTTTATAATAGCATTATGAAAATGGCAAAGACATATCCTGAGGTCTTGCAGGTAGCAATCTGGTAAATAAAATAATATTTTTATTATTAAATTATATTTTTTTATAATTTAATAATAATTTTTACTGGGTGATGCTATTTATATGACCGCGAATCGTTATCAACTTTAAAGGACTATTTACCTCGTCTCAATTGGTCGTCTTCAGAAACCATTTCTGTAATGAATGTTATTAAAGTTGTAGGTGGGTATTTAAGAATAGAAATTGGAATTTCCATGAAATTTCTAATTCGGTTGATACCTCGTTCATTAAAATCCATCAGTCCTGGTAAAGTGAAAAATAATGAATACTACCGTATCGTAGACAGATTCTTAAAAGTTAGTTTCTTCACTTAATTAGAATATTTAAAACCTCTAGAATTCAAGGGGAATTCGTAGAGAAATCTTTTGAACTTATTGAACGATTCAGACAAATTGCAAGCATTGATGAACCCAGAAAGGAATTTCAATGAAGGAGGCTTTACCTCCTTTGGAGAATCTACTTTAAGTAAATTGCTACGGCCTCAACGAAACAAAGCTGTTCCATCTATCTCTCCCTTCTCTACGTTGAGAATAATTCGGATGGTTTCTACGGTGAATGCAAACGGTTAGCATTAAGGTTCGTTTGAAAATGTGTTTAATTACAACATGTTATAAGAGAACTTCGCAATACACACTAATACTATTGAAACAGGTAGGGTGAACGCACCAATTATGGACAAGGGGTCCAGTGATGGACAAGTTGGACTTTAAATGTAAATAATAAGCTTCCTTGTTGATTTAATGGTTCCAGTTTTTTCTATATTGAAGAACAATGCCCTCTATTGACAACCCTATCATTGTTGTTTCTATAGTGCTCTTGAGATCAGTGCGTTTCTTACTTTCCTACCACGGGCGGATCTACGGGGAGGAGGAGGGAGGGGCTTTCGGGCTGAATCCCCCCCCCCTCAAAATGGTAAAATATAAACATGTTTTATTAAAAAATTATCTCTTAAAGTATTATTGTTCGTGTAATTACATTTAAAAGGACTTAAGGAATCACTTAAACACCATTTCATATAGATAGTTAGTTTCTTTCTTGTTTTCCAAAGTAACTATCGTCATTTTTATAAAAAAAGCTCTCCGGATGAAGCCCTCCCAAAATTAAATCCTGGATTAGCTGGCGCTTCCTACTAACAGTTTTGCCAAGAGTAAATTGAACATTTATCTTATCTTATCTTTATCGTTACCTTTATAGTTAAATAAAGATTTTAGAATTTTTCTGAGGTATGTCCATTACTGGTACGGATCCTCAGTCCATTACTAGAACAATTGAATTTTGGGTTGTCCATCACTGATGCAAAAAGGTGTTTTTTTTTTTTTTTAAATGGAGATTATCCCTGCATAACTGAATATTTTTTCAATTTTAAAGTGTTAAATAGAAAAAGGAGACCCTAGATATTCTAAACATCAGACGGATAAATTTATAAGTATAATATCTGATTTATCAGCATAAACCAAAAAAGGTAAAAATTTCCTTATCTATGTCCATCACTGGTGTACTTACCCTGTAGCTTTATTTATCATTTCCTTTTGCAATTTTATCGATTGGTTCCATGGTGACATATCACATCTTGTAGGAATTATTCATTTGTAGCAATGATCGTGTTTGTATTAAAAAATAATTAAATGTTTTCAAATATAATTTTGACTTTTTTTTTTAAATGGGCTTAAGATCGGTGTGAGAGGCGGGGATGGAGTGGGGGTGCCGCTATTGAACGCGGCGGGTGGGAAACGCATGGTCAGTAGCCAACCAGAAGCGGAGCAGGCCGGACATGAGAGAGGCCTTGTGTCAGATACTCTGTTCCACCTTCAACACCGATGCCACAGACAATTCCAAGCTTTCACAAGGTAAAAACAAGTCAAATAAAAAAAAAAATGGAGGCAGCGATCTGATCTGTGCAAATGATTATCCGATACCCGCGAACAGCTAATAATAGCATTATTCAGTGAACAGTGTTCTCGGGAGGTTTAAGTACGTATTAGGTGGTGTGAGTAAAGTGATTAAGTGAAACATCTTAAATTGGAAAAACCTTTTCCCATTTTCCAGTGGGATTACGAGCACTGTTCTGACTTCAGTTGCCAGAAATTTCGATGTAGGAGTGCACTCCTTACTATAGATAAGTTGCAAACCAATTAGCCGTTTTGGACATTAATTAGTCTCATTGCCATTGCTGGTATTGTAAAGTAATTAATAATCATACTGATTATTTTAATAAATTCATTCAGAACTAAGAGGATGTTATATAAAATATAACTCTAACAATAATAATTGGATATTATTCTTAACTGAATGTTGACTTATAACCAATATCACAACTTAACGTTTGATGTGTACTTTACATTTATGGTATAAAGTACGATTTATTTCGTAATGTAACTCAAGGAAGACCTGGCAAGTAAAATAAAAAAAGTGTCCAGAAAAAAAAAATCATTTCAGTTTGTACTTTCTTATGAAAACGGCCCCCTCTATTGAATATAATGACATTATTTCTACTTTTCCATACAATATATATTTTTTATAAAAATCGGAGTATAAAAATAGATTCGGTATTATTGTTCTAGGATGCCAAGTATCAAAATTTGCTAAATACGTTATCAAGAAAGAAACATTATTAAGTAATTTCGATCTAATATCGTACCACAAATGAAAATGAAAGAGATATTTCTAGATTGGATGAACCGTACAAGCACGAATTCTGCTATTTTTAGCTGTTCCTTCTCAAAGTTTCCCTCCAAACCGCCTTATAGCTTCAGATATACTGTGCCTCATACTTATCTTTAATCCTTCAAACTATCATCACATTGCCTTTTCAGAATTTATTGTATTTATATATATGTATAGTTTTTCTTGAAAGCCTTAATTAAATTAATTAAAACTTTACCCGCTTAGAAGCGTGAAGTGAAGATGACGCAATTGCCTTAGCCGGTGTGTCATACACAATACATTCCCTAAAACATCCATCGCAATGTTATTTTATCATTCATGATAAAATCACAATTACTGCTTGTATATTTTTTATTTACCTGGAATATGATATAACGTATAATTAACTTGTTTAGATAAATAGAACTAGAGATTAGTAATAGTTATACCTTAATTACAAAGTAGTTTTGTTTAATTATTATATTTTTTTTTCTCTTAATACTTTCTCCTTCACCTGTCATGAGAGTGACAATCAGCAGATTTGATGGAAATATTGATATTGATGACATGACAGGCATGAGAAATATATTATTATTCTTAAACCATTAAATTATTATTTTACAACATTTTTTTTTAATCAATTAGAAATGTATACGTTGTAATTATTTTTTTAAACAAAAAAATATACTTGGTATAAAATAGAGAAAAAAAAAAGGAAGAAGTTTGTATATTTTGTTATGTACCATTCTATTTTTAAATGCCATCTTCTATATTTTTCAATAAAATCTTTAGATGAAGCAATCATTTTTTTTTTTTTAATTTGCTGAAGGTCATTTGGTATTATTTTCAGCTTAAAGTATCAATTATTTTGTAATAAGAACTTTTATAAATTTTCAATTTTATTTACCACAAACTGTGGAACTGGTAAATCATATTTAATATAAATATATAATAATACAAAATAAATAGAATTGATATTATAAAATTAAAAATATTACAAATATAAATAAAACTTTTATTTCTTGTTTTATTCCCAGGTTGGATATTTCTTCCTGCTTGAATTCAGAATTTAATTGATAAATATGTGACAGAATGCATTCAAAGCTTTCTTAAAAATGAATAATTATTTATTATTTATTTACTTTCTTTATTATAAATTTATTTTCTTCGCGATTCAAATTAAACTCATCAAAGGCGTTCATTTCTGGGCCAAGGTTTACATTAATTAAGCTCGTGGTCAATTTATTAATAAAATTATCGTTAATGATTAATTGTGAATTGAATATTTTCCCCTATTAAATAATTTATGAAATCTCATTACATAAAAAAGTTTCTCGTTTTCCCCCCTCTTCAGGGCTTATTATTACATTAATAAATTGTTTCGTCCAATGCTATGGATGAAGTTCATGGATACATGTAATGAATTAGAAGTGGCTGATGATAAATGATTTGAATAAATCAATATGGTATGTGATATATTAGTCCTGAATATGTGGCACAATCTCTGAACGTTATGATGTAATAAGATTTTAATGAATTATTTTCGAAAATTGGTGTAAAAACGGTAAATGACCAAAACATGGAAATGGGAGTGAACTGTACGAGGAAAAAGAATCAGGGCTGGGTGTAGAATAATTGCTAAAAGGGCCAATGTCCTATTGGGACTAATTAATTATGGGAAGACTTAAGCTCGTTTTGACAACTAATTAATTTACATCCCATCCTGATTTCCTTTCTATAATTTAAAACATATGACCTTTGTGTTTCAATCTTGTATAAGGAAGATATACATTCACAATTAATTATTAATAACATTATCCCGATATATCAAGTTTAAGTTAATTTTTTTATTTTCAATAGCGGAAATATTATTGAACCATCTCATATTCTAAATCTATTATAAACTTTCTGAAATGCGAAATTTTCATAGTTATTTCCTCTTATAAAAACGTGAACATATTTGAAATAAGTATTGTTCCATACATATATTAGCTTGAGAGGACGAAGTAATTACTAATTCGCAGTTTATCGACCCTACGTTTACATTATTTATGGCAAACAACTTCTATTTTTAGCTATTTTAACAACCACGGTCACGTCACATTACAAGAATACCTCTATTGTAAACACATATGCTGTAATCAATTTCAAGATGTATTAATTATTATATAAGATTCATTATAAGTGGTGTGTGATATATTATTCCTGGATTAGCTTATTAGAAAAGTTCTAAGTCGTTGTCAGGACAAAATATTTTTTCATGAATTGTTTATATTTGTATTTATTGTTACGTACCCCCCTTCCATGATTCGAGGAGCTCTTTGATCACTATATATATTTTTAATTCTCAAAATTTCACTGTAGAAGTGTGTTAAAAAATACCTTCCACAGACTATGCTATATACAAAATAACGAATATACAAGTAAACTACAATGTTTTTAACAAAAAATAATTTAGGTTAATGAAATTGAGAGTTTCATACCTAACAAGATTAGTACATCCTATTTCTTGAAATGGATGCTATGCTGAGGTGTTGCTCTTCACACTTTTTATGGATTTTCCTTTCACCTGGTATATGGATGCGAAAAGATGTCAAAATAGAAGTTGAGAAATGTGAATCATTTTTTGTATAGTAGTTTTTTTTAAATTCTATTATTCCAATGGAGTAGTAATCTATGGTGGCTTGATAAAGTGGACTGCACCTCTATTATTAAGAGTAGACATTTGGCACATAATCAAGTATTTTATTGTTCGAGTTATTTTCTTTCCTTCTTGTGTTATAAATGCATTTATTAAGCAGAGGAAATTTAATATAATTTGTATTGTATTAAAATATTTAAAATGGGCCATTTATCTTCGTTTAAAACGTAAAGGAATTCAAAACAATCTATGATTTTTTTTTAACCATATAAAGAAATATGAAACTCGAACTAAACGATATCGTTATATCCCTGTTGTATTTTTAAAAATTAAATTCTTATATATCGACCTTAAAGAATATAATTAAACTTAAAATAAGAAAACTTCGAAGGTCAAATTGGATATTTTTTTATTTAGAAGTTAAGGGTGGTCTAATAATACTTACTACCGTGTAATAAAATAAAATACATAAAATATCCGTTTAATTAACGATAAATTTAAAATTGGTTCAACTATAACCTTTTTCAGTTTTTATGTAAAACAATCCCTCAAGGTTGAATTATAATTATTTCACTTATTCTGACAAGAAAGTTTTTTAAATAAAGTTGTTTTAGCTCTTGATAAAGTGCTTTAATAGACACAATTTGTTTCAATTGGATATTTTTTCACGCTCACCTCTGAAGTCATGCTTTTTGTTTCTGCAGACAAAACATCTTACGCTAATTCGTTTGGCAGTTCGCTACTTTGTATTCTGAATATTTCAACGCTAATTTCTAAACAAGTTGATAAAACAAATGAGAGAGGCACCTGCCCGTGTGGCTTGAATCTATAGCTGAAGAGGAGCTATTTCGAGAGGAGCCATGGGGACACGCTACCAGCTACAAATATAGCCAGTCGAGCCTACCTCACTTCTCTCTCCTGTGGGACCACTCACTAACATGAAATTCCACTCCTCTTATTCTGTCTAAAATAGTTTGAAAATACTTTTGTTAAGAAGATATTCATCTCCTCCCTTCATCCTGAACTTTTTTTTTGTTCTGTTATCAAATATCCATGTTTCCAGTTGCTGAAATAAAGGTTTCACTATATGAAACTGAAGAATAATTCTTTGTTTTCTAGTTGAAAGAATTTTAAATTATGAAAGAAAAAATCTCTAGCATAACTCTTTCTTTGTTCTAATAATTCTTACAATAACATTAGTGAATAATAATTCTGTAATTTTTCGGGGAAGAATGGTTGGGCGCCATATTCTATTATGTGCCCTGGACAGCAGAAATCTATTCTGCGTTCCCGTCTTTGTGAAATATATTGTCAAAGGTGTTCAACCTGAAAGGCGAACATCCCTTTGGATGTCATTTAAGGAATATAAAGGCTTGATTCTGGCTGTTTTAAATTTATCTTTAAGTGAGGCATTTCATATGTCGAAATGAAAACAATGCAAAACTAATTTTAACATTGATTTTTCTCCGGGATGAGAACAATGAACTTGGTTTTATTTCGTCACAACGAAATATATGGCAGAGGCGTCGTGTAGGTGTGGTGAACGGGGGAGTCGTCCCAGAC